AAATTAAATTACTCTTTTCTTTGGAGCACTGGTATTTAAAATGTGCAAAACATCATTAAAAAAATTATTGCAGCAGCAGTGTCTTCAAGAAACCTTTAATTAAAATTGTTTAATTGTATTCAAGTTATTTAATCATAGAAGAAAAATAAATCCTAATAGATTAATTCCATCTATATAAATTTCTTTGGGAGCATAAATATTGAATACAGATACTTTGCATTTACATTCCATTTGCATTTGCATTCCATACCTAAGAAGTTCGAATTTGTTGGTGACGTCCATTTTGCTCTACGGGTTCATGGTGACCTAATCCTAACCCTAAGTGGAATTTTCCTCCAATGGGATTTTCCCATGTAATTTTCCAGGAAACATAGGGCAGCCTAGAAAAGTCAGTGCCCTCCTAACCATATTTATTTTTATTTTTTATTTATTTATTAAATTTATTTAGGAAATATAGATAGGGCAGCCTAGAAAAATCAGTGCTCTCCTAACCAACCCAAGCACTCCAGGTTTGTTGGCGAGGACCATTTTACTCTAAGAATTCATGGTGACATAACCCTAACCCTAAGTAGAATTTTCTTCCAATGAGATTTTCCCATTTATTTTACCAGGAAACATAGATAGGGCAGCCTGGAAAAGTTAGTGCCCTACTAACCATACCCAAGTAGTCCAGGTTTGTTGGCAATGTCCATTTTGCTGTACGAGTTCATGGTGACCTAACCCTAACCCTAAGTGGAATTTTCCTCCAATGGGATTTTCCCATGTATTTTACCAGGAAACATAGATAGGGCCGGCTAGAAAAGTCAGTGCCGTCCTAACCATACCCAAGTACTCTGAGTTTGTTGGCGATGTCCATTTTTTCTGTACGAGTTCATGGTGACCTGACCCTAACCCTATGTGGAATTTTCCTCCAGTGGGATTTTCCCATGTATTTTTCCAGGAAGCATAGATAGGGCAGCCTAGAAAAGTCAGTGCCCTACTAAACATACCCAACCACTCCGGGTTTGTTGGCAATGTCCATTTTGCTGTACGAGTTCATGGTGACCTAACCCTAACTCTAAGTAGAATTTTCCTCCAATGGGATTTTCCCATTTATTTTACCAGGAAACATACATAGGGCAGCCTAGAAAAGTCAGTGCCCTCCTAACCATACCTAAGTACTCTGAGTTTGTTGGTGATGTCCATTTTCCTGTACGAGTTCATGGTGACCTAACCCTAACCCCATGTGGAATTTTCCTCCAATGGGATTTTCCCATGTATTTTTCTAGGAAACATAGATAGGGCAGCCTAGAAAATTCAGTGCCCTCCTAAGCATACCCAAGCACTCCGGGTTTGTTGGCGATGTCCATTTTGCTCTTTGAGTTCATGGTGACCTAACCCTAACCCCAAGTGTTTTTTGTTTGTTTGTGTGTGTAGTTTCTGGGAATGTTTTTGTCTTTCTTAGTTGTCTATTTAACTACTGTGTCGTTAAATTTTAAAAATTTTGGGAAGACTGATTTCAGTCATACCTTTCCATATCCTTCTAATCTATTTCAAGCTGATAAACAATTGTCTTTTCTATTGTTTACCTTAAAATTAAAATAATCAACATTTAAGGCAATCTATGCATTCTGTCACTGACCAATAGGAAAGCGGGGAAAAAAGTATCTTCCGAGTGCCATGCCTATCTCCCATCCTTGGGAGGGAGGAAGGAAAGAGGAAAGGAAGGAAGAATAGAAGGAGCTACAAAATCTGCAAGCCACAAAAATCCCATCTGTTTGCACAGTTGAAAAGAGTAAAGAAATGTTAATCTAAACTAATTCTGCAGGATGGAGAGAGAGGGCAAGGGTCAAACTGATCGAACTTTGAAGGAGATAATGGCCCATCCCAAATGCTATTGAGCCCTGCACTTCTATTGGAAAACCAGGTTAAGCATAATTAACTGCAGTTGAGTAAATCAAGGAAACCAATCCCGATCCATGGACAGTTCCAGATCAAGGTCTTGTTCAATTCCCCTGAGATCACATGTCCTTTTTACAGTTTCACAGCCTAGTATAACTGAATTTCCAGTTCACTTTGGTATGCCTGAAGTTGCTACAAACTTTCTGTGAAGTTTGCGGAAAAGTAGTTTCATGATTTAAGGGAATTCTAGGAACTGCTTGGATTTTTCTTTTCCAGACAGACAAAAAAATAAATGCAAGCTGAAGGAAGTAATTTACTTTCTCTTTCATATAAAATGGGTTGAGGTGTGTGGTTGTGTGTTTTTGTTTGTGTGTATATTATGGCTGATAATGCAGGACCTGCTGCAGTTTGTTCTTTGTTCTCATTGTGTTTAAGAAGTGTGGTGAAGATAACTGTGGGTCATATTCAGACCGTCTTAGCATTTTAGAGAGGAAAACATGAAAGAAACCTATACTGGACTTATTATTTCAAGTTGCTTATTTTCTATTATATAAATTTATATCAGCCTTCATATATTTCATAATAATTGGGAACTTTGGGAATTGATTTACAATTTCAGCACATCTGTGGGGGGCACCAATTGGGTAAGCTTATATCCTTTGGATTTCTCTGGATTCTCTGAAATTAGTCCTATGTTTCTAATGCTATTTGTATTGTTTTTCTCTTTAAGGAAAAGGAAATATTTCCAAAGTTCTTGCTGATTACAAAATGCTTCTACCATGCAATATATACTATTGTACCTAAAGAAGGGAAGTATCTGATCCCTCTTATGCAGGTTAATTCATTTATTCTCTGACAACATTCCCTTTGCTAACTCTGACACTTATCAGCAATGTATGCATATGCACACACTAGCACAAAAACTATTTCATGCAGGTCACATTTGTACTAAAGGTGTCAGAAAGTGCCATTTCATGCTTAACTGCACAGTCTAATAGAATCCAAAGCAAAACCAAGTAGGTCTCTGTGTTTCTATTCAGTACATGCAACAAATAAGTTTATGTCTAATATGAGAACATTGGGTTCCACCAGCATTTGGAAGTAGCATTATTAAACTTACTGCACTTTGTTTACCACAACTGGAACATAGCTTTTTCAACAACCTGGAATAACACTCACATGTCAAGAAAACTGATCCTGCATCCTATCCACCCTGATTACTTTATTGCTATCAAGTTGGTGTCAACAATAAGCAATTACATGACATAACATCTGCAGGATGTTCCTTGATAGCAGTGTTCCAATATCTTAGGGATTGCCACAAAGAAGAGGGAGTTAAGCTATTCTCCAAAGCACCTCAAGGCAGGACAATAAGCAATGGATGGAAACTAACCAAAGAGAAAAACAACCTAGAACTAAGGACAAATTTCCTGACAGTTGGAACAATTAATCAGTGGAACAACCTGCCTCCGGAAGTTGTGAATGCTCCAACACTGGAAGTTTTTAAGAAGAGATTAGACAACCATTTGTCTGAAATGGTATAGTGTTTCCTGCCTGAGCAGGGAGTTGGACTAGATGACCTCCAAGGTCCCTCCCAACTACTACTACTACTACTACTACTACTACTACTACTACTACTACTACTACTACTACTATTCCACTATTCCAGCTGTGTATCTAATGACTGGAATTGCCCAGGTGTTGATTGCCTTTATGGTATTTCCTCCATTGAGTTTGGACTTTTAAGATCTTCTTCACTCTCTTGATGTATTCACCTCTAATCTTTTTCTTGACTTCAGTGTGCTTGATGTTGTCAGCTTAAAGGATACCCAAGTATTTGTAATAATCTTCCTCATCCAGACTCTTAATGTTATTTTCGTGGGGCATCTTGATTCCTTCAGTTTTCACTATTTTTTCTTATTTGATATATTATTATTATTATTATTATTATTATTATTATTATTATTATTATTATTATTATTATTATTATTATTATTATTATTATTATTATTATTATTATGGGTTATCTGTTTTTAGCCTGGATTTTTAGGCCTCCTACCAATCCATCTGTTACTGTTGTGTTTGAGTCCACTTTGCTGCTGGTGGTACTTTTTTGTTCCACTTTTCCCAACATTATGGACTTCTAAGAGGAGATGGATCTTCACATAATGTTTCCAAATATGATAGGTTGAACATGATATATTAGAATTGGGTACCTTATTTGACTCTTGCCACCTAATTATAAGGAAACAATGAACTTGAATGTTGTCTTGGTTTGATCATTATCATGACTAAACAAACAAACAAAATGATGCTCCAACTGATCAGTAAAGAACTGAACTTGAGTTGAATTATAGATTGTTATTGAATTGCAGATTGTTGTACTGTGGAAATGGTTCCACTGTCTCTGACAGAGTAGGTTAGTAGTCTTGACTCTCCATCTTCATTTATCGCTGGATGTGCAAATGGAAAGTTAGGCAAAGAGTATGTTTGCATATTTAAGGTTAATACACTAAGTATCGCCGTTTGAATTGGTCAGATTTAACAAGTTGTTTTGGGTACACATTTTGAATATACTTTACATTAAACTATGCTTGGAAAATGTCTAAAGTTATAGTTGATATAAATATGCCAATTAGTCAATTAATATAAAGTTAGCAATTGCTACATAAATAAATATTATGAAACCATGATATCTGAAAACATTCTCTACTCAAATTAATGTATCATGTTACTAAGATCTTAATGTGATGCCCTTTTCAAGGAATTCTGCCAATAAAACAATGTAGATTGCTTCAAGAGGAATTATATTATGTTTCTGTATTGATTACCATTATTGTAGTCACTGGTATTACCTTTTCTCTAATAAAATTTTATACTGTTATTTTTCTACTGTTCTGAGGTAATTTTACTCTTAATATTTTCAGCTGAATATACAATACCCAGGGAACTTTTGTTATTTGAATAATACAGTGAAATAATAATGCTGAAAATCTGAACCACTTTCATGCAATAATTAAATAATGTATCTAAAAATATTAAATAATTAGTAATCCTCCAAGATTTGAAATGCTTAACATTATTGTAATTTGTTTTATTGATCTTTTTCTTTTCTTCAGAGGCCTCTGTCCTGAGTTATGATGGCAGCATGTATATGAAAATTGTTATGCCTATGGTCATGCATACAGAGGCTGAGGATGTGTCCTTCCGCTTCATGTCCCAGCGTGCATATGGTCTACTGATGGCCACAACATCACGTGATTCAGCTGATACACTACGGCTTGAGCTAGATGGAGGACGGGTTAAACTCATGGTCAATCTAGGTATTGTGGCAAAGTCCCCCCCCCCAATCACTTGGCTTTTAATTTCAGCTTGTTTTGTTTTCTTGTCTGTCTCCCTTCCATCCTCCCCCACCTTTGATCTGGTTGAGTTGAATTTTAACTCTGCTAAAGTATTTTTTGTAACAATATTAATCATGGAGAATTTCTCCAGCCATCCCTGCATGCAGATTTTATGTTGCTTCCTGGTTATGGATAATGTGTTTTGTTTTTAAAGTCTTTTTTAAAGCTTCCTTTCTTGTTCTTAAACTGGTTAGTTTTGTGTAAGACATGCTGTTTGGTCCATCTTTTGATCAACCACATCCTCATTGATCCAGCCTCTCTGCTACTATTCAAAACAGTCAAAAATAAGTTATGATGGCAATGATAGAGCTATAGGTGAAATTGCTATCCTTTAACAAGCTAGGATTTTATATATCAAACATACGGGTGTCATCTATGCTGCTCTCTGAGATTAAGAATAAGATTAATCTTTAATTTCAGGCTTAAAATGTGCCCATTTCAAAAAATCACCAACAGAGAGTAACTTATAAATAAATATAAGTTAATTCATTTGAGGAAATATCCAGAAATCTTCTTTTGCCCAGTCCTGTCTTCAGAAAGTCCAATAGAAATGCATTTCTGTTAGACCTCTTGATAGAGTTGTTATCTTTTCATTCAGTGTTCTTAACTCAAGGGGAATGGAAGAATTTGGGATAGAGATCTCTTCTCTTTCCTCTGATACAATATTGCTTCAATTGGTTATTTTTTACCTTCAAGGTTTTAATTTGAGGAATTTCATAGAATTAGTTTCCTGAAAAATAAATGGTTTTATTTGCTGCTCAAAAATGGATCACTATGAAGAAGAGATAGTGAGACATGATATAGTTAATATTTGCCTTCCAAAAGGCTAAAATGTTCAGCTTTTGTTCTCTTGTAGTTCTCTGCTTTAAAAAAGAAACCAAGAGTTCTAGCTGGTGTCACTGCTTCACATTCTGCAGTGTTTACTTGAAAAACTGTGTTATAGCCTCAGAATTTCTGTCAGCTTTTCTGATGTTGGATTTATGACTTAGTACCTCTGATTTTCCAAAACATCTAAGTACAAAATATCAAGATAGGGTGCTTTTAGGCTCATGACCTTCCAAGCATGTATCATACATTGCTTGGAAAAACTTTTATATTATTCCACTCATTTATATGTTACAATGGAAGAGTAGAACTGGAATATGAGCAGGAAAGTCTTATTTAAAAACTTTCCTACAACCAGATGCACAAGGGATTGTTTGGTCTAGAGGTTAAGGCACCAGGCTAGAAAGCAGGAGACCATGAGTTCAAACCCTGTCTTAGCCATGGAAGCCACCTGGGTGACTTCAGACCAGCCATTCTCTCTCAGCCCAACCCACTCACAAGGTTGTTGTTGTGGAGAAAATAGGACAGGAAGATACAGTATATGGATATGTTCACTGCCTTGAGTTATTTGTAAAAATAATAAAGGTAGGAAATGAATGAACGAATGAATAGTAGTGCCCATAAGAAAACAGTTTGACTATTTCTCGAACAGTTTCTATCAATTCTGAAATGATTATTTGTATCTAGCATTAGTAACCACATAAGATAAAGAATGTTCCCTTTAGCAGAAACATTTTTCTTCCCTCTAGGACATGTATCATATACATGTTCTCTGGGAACTATTGTTTAAGCTGTTTCATAAACAATTACTTATTTGAAATGCAGGTAATAAGTCTAACATGTTTTTTTTTTTTAAGATTTAGGACTCATGTTGAAAGGCCCCAAAATGAAGTCCTATCTGCCCTTTAGTAAGCAAAATTTTTTTTACTAAGCCCAAATATCACATCAGCTATGCTTTGCATGGAGTCACTGCAGTATCTCTACAACTTTATTGCAGTCATGTATATTCCAGAACAGAAGGTTAGTTATGAAGCACGAAAGGTGTGAAATCTTTTCAGAAATGAACTTACCCCTCCCTTCCCAAAAGCATGACATAGAAGTCAAATATAAAATATTGTTTTAGAAATTCATTTCAAGTTGAAGGAATCCAGGGAAGATTTCTTCAAACCTTAGTGACAGTGTGAGTTCTGAAATGTTATTGCATTAAGTGAGCCAACATCTAAGCCTTGCTTATCAGTAAAAATTCCACATTTGATAACATCTGGTGAAAATGGCAATTTATAAAGATATTGTTAATTTAGAGTAGTTTACAATGGAAATCTGAACCATTTTTTCTTGCCAGAAATGCATAATGGCAAAGTCTGTTTTGAATGGTAGCAAACATTATTTTGCTTGCCCTCCCCCTCAGTTTTTCTTCTTAATTTCCTTTCATGTTTCTAATCCTTTTTTCTGTGATCTTTTTCACACTGTGTATCAACGTTGTAAAAACTTATTTATGTCCCATCAGTCATGGTATATCAAAAGATGGTATTCAACCCTTCAAAGGCCTGAAGCCTGCGGCCCGCACAGCAAACAGCCCTTCGAACAGAGTGTACAGAAAAACCTGCAAGGGCTGCGATATCCCTCTTTCCATTAGAGCTCTATTTAGCAAAAAATAATCAGCAAGGAGAATGTGGTTGATTTGACTGAGGAAGGAGGGAGGGAAGAGACTCTCATATGTTAAGACTGCTTCTTTAAGAAAACTGTAAATTTTTCTTGAGGGATAGTTCGAAGATCATATTCTCTGGCAACACATTAAGCTCTGGAAAAATTATAAGCCTTTATGTGATATTTCTAACACTACTGTTGAGAAGATAGAGAGGAAAGAAAGAGAGAGAGAGAGTGTGTGTGTGTGAGAGAGAGAGACAGAGAGAGAGACAGAGAAACAAAGAGATAGAGAGAGAAAATTCAATGAGCCACAGTCCCATCCATGACTAGCATATGCTAAGAGTTAGAACATGGCCAATCACACTAAACCAGTGCTTCTCCTTCTCAGTCTTCTTCTTTATCAGATTGGAACTGCACTATGTCAAAGTCTCATCTTTAAAAGTCACTCAACATCTGCATCCCTTATTGATTGTTTTGTAGTAGGCAGACAGGGCCAAATACACATCCAGCTATTGATTGATCATATATCTCTTTACTTATTTAATTTACATAACCAAATGGTGATTTTAAGTGACCAACAAGCTAAAATACACAAACAACAAGAAAATAAGATACACAACAGGCAGCGAGATTAAAAAAAACAATCAAATAACAATAACTATCTCATGGGTTCTAACCAATAATCCAGCTCCCATGCTCAGAAACGTAAGCATGTCTTCAGTGTCTCGTGAAAGGCTGATATATTCTAATCTAATTCTCTTGGGGAATGATGTTCCAAAGATCAGGCACCAAGATAGAAAATCCTGGATCCTGTATGAAGGTATTCCTTGATTCATGTGATCCATAGTTTGCTTCTCCTCCTGCATCTAAGATAGAAGTGATAGAGGAGGTAGATAGATAACCTGGTCCCATTCCATGAAGGGATTGATAAGTATCCATAAGCACCTTCAATTTCATTTAGAAGAATACTAGTAATCAAGGCAGCTCATGAAGCAAAGAAGTAAAATGAAGGCACAGAGGAAGACTTCTAATTGCCCACACTGCAATTTTCAATCAGCTGCAGCTTCCAGATGTTCTTTAAGGGCAGTCCCATTTAAACTGTATTACGGTAGTTCACTTGGGAGGTGACTAAGGCATGAAAACTATGAACAGAGCCTCTTAGTTTAACAAAGTGTACCACACAAAGTTGTGTAAAAGTTCTCTTGGCTAAGGCTGCCACCTATTGCTCACATTAAAGTGTGTGTAATACACTGTAATCCCACCTAGAACAAGAGACAGGGAGTCCCCAGAAGTCCTAAATCCCAGAACTATTTGGCTTTGTCATAATTGAACGGAAGCCTATTCTTTCCTATCCAACACCCAAAGGCTACAAATGTCAAAGACAGATGCTTCATTGCACCACTTGATCAGCCAGGGTAGAGATATAAATCTGAGTATCATCAGCATATTCCTTGATAACAGATGACCTCATCTAGCAGCTTCATGTAGATCAGACATGTCAAACTCGCGACGTCATGTGACGTCTCGGAGCTTTTTCCCCATTGCCGGCAATGGGGTGGGTGCGGTTTCGTCCCTAATGTAGATGGTAAATAGGAGTGTGGAGAGCGAGCCATAGATACTATGGCAAAACCTGGTTGTAGCATTTGTGCTAATCCTAAAGCTACAACTGCACTCTCACAATCTTTTCTTGGGGTTAACAATACCTGAATCCCAGGGTTAATCAGTTGCAGAACTCCACAGAAGATGAGTTTGCTCACATAAAAACAAATATTAAAAATGCCAGTAAAAATTAATGATCAGCAAATCCCAAGGACTAGGTTTATAAATGTAAGTGTTCAGAAGTAGGAGAAAGCTTTAAGTATCTCAGAACAGTTGTGACAGTCTAAGCTTCTAAAATGTAAATACATTTCTCAAATGAAATTTTAGAAACCTAAAAGAGAATATAATCCAATCTACATTCTATTTTACATCTCTCAAGTATAATCAGTCTTTCAGATAAGATTTCTAGTGTTTTGTCATTCTCTCTCTCTCTCCTTCTTTAAATCCTCTTGGCACTCAGTATCGGGGAATTATTTTCCCTTATTGCACTTACCAGCACACATCTAAAAAAGGGATATAGCCACTCCTGTATGGTGATCGTACTAAATGCTCAAGGGCTGTTTGCTCCCACTTTTCTGTTGCGGTTGACGACACATGACAAACCTAATCGCACGAAACCAAACCCATATTTTCTTAAAAGAAGATATGCTGGAAAATACACTCTGTGGCATCATTACTTCTGGATGTTTTCTTTTTCCCAATCACTCAGTTTTTTTGTTTACTGCCCCTCCTTTATAAATATTAATTTTATGATATTAATTAGACATGTTCCTTTTCTAATTTTACTTGGGAAAATACCTCTAAGTTTAGCACAGATAGCTTTAAATATTTTAGTTGAGCCAGAGGTCAACCTTGATTGACCAGTTTTTTGGCCAATGAACAGTGGAATCTTTTTAATATGATATTGTTGAATATATGGAGAAGTGGCTCTTAGCATTAACTGTGAGGAACAGTTTGTCACAGGTTTACATAGGCTACATGTTGCAACACTTTTTTCAAATAATATGTTGTCAATCTAAGAATTAATGGAGGTATCATGCTTCTAATCTTGTGATCAAGTATCTGAAGCTTATGTTTTGCTCAGAAGACTCTATGAGTGATCAAAACAACTCAGCTGAAATTCTACTTTTTTGTTAGGATATTAATGAGTATTTAACAGGCACAAATAAATGCATGTGTCACTGTAGTCTTTTTTAATTGTTTATGGTTTCTCCCACTTGTAGTTTCTGAAACATATGAGTGAAGCGCAGGGGGTTGTCAAAGATAATCAGATCTGCCACTGCACTGCCTATTTCATCTTCTTCCAGAATGTTGTAGATGCTTCATTTAATTCTAATATTCAGGCAGCAAGGTGAAACAGGGCTCTGAAGGGCTGGCTGGCTGTTTTTGTATCAACTCTCTCCAACCAATAAAAAATATGAACCCTCCAAAATGCAGAAATCTGGGCTGGGCGTTCGTGCGGTTAGCAGTTTGCAAGTGGCCATTTTATGGTGACAAGGAGCAATATGTTATCCCTTTCTGCAGCATGAAAAGTTTTGGCAATATACATTTTTTCTGCAAAACATTTTAAGTTATCGCACAGGAAATGAGTATACATTGAAAGGGCTAAATATTGCATTACTAAATATTTACAAGCTAAATCCACGAATGCATTTATATAGATACACTAACCATTCAAATGAAACATTGTAGAATTTGTTTTTAAGCATCCAAATGTGTAAAAATATTCTAAAAGGACTAAAAATACATACCATTTGGGAGAAAGCCTTGCATTTTATGGGAAAATGCCTGTGCTTTAATAACATGTAAACTATGTTTACCTAGATTTTGATTACAATCACTTAACTATTTTTCAAAATAACATTTTTTCTTAAAAACAGTATTGTCAAGGAAAGGTATATAATTTATAATTCTTTTCTGCAAGCATCTCACATGTGTAGGTATACACTGACACACACACACACACACACACACACACAGACAGACACACACACACACACACACAGAGACACACACACACACACAAACAGACACGTAAACAGAAGCAGGGAAATGGGAATAGTTTATGGATCTGAGACTTTTGTAGTATATAAGTACAGAGACAGTCCTGTACTTCTATAGAATGTACATAAATATAAAATGGCCACATTTTTTTGCGTGTGTCTGTCCCCGGAAGGGTGGACTGATTGTTTTTGGATGTCTGCAGCTGTTACCTTGAAGGATGCAATTTCATCTTTCATTTATTTTTCCCCATCTAGACTGTATCAGGATAAACTGTAACGCCAGTAAGTTTTCCCTCAAGTTTCATTTTGTTCTATCTATATATGTCTATTTAAAAGAAATTAACAGTATTTATTTGATGCTTTATAAACTATTCCTTCTTTTCATTAAAAATGTATTGGTAACAAGAACTTAGTAGATGTTGAAATAGTGTGCATTTTGTATTATTTGTAAGTGATGAATGTGTCTGAGAGAAATCTCTCTAGGGGCAAATGAATTATTTTATTCCCTGGCTTCACAGAAAAGTGTCCAGGGAACAGGAAGAATTGAAAACATATTTCAGTAGCTTTCTGCTGTCTTGGGAAATATTCTTAAAGGCAGTCTTGATACTGCATAGAAATCACAGGTACTGTATACTCTTTTCTACTTTAAATTTTGTTTTGAAAAGTATATAATTTAGGTCATAATGGTGACTGCTTCATCTGATACTTTTTAATATTCACTTAAAAATATACATATAGAAGAAGCAAATCATGTTCTTAGATGGGCAATACCATAATTGAGTCAATTTTTATTTCAGATAGGTGAAGGCTCTTGGAAACATTTTTGAAGAAAGTTTACTAACAGAATAAAACTAGTATTTAAAAATTAAAATTATAATACTAATAGAAGTTAGGACTTAATATGATAAAAAACCCTCATATTTTTCCATGGCTCTGGCACCATTTGAGGCAAAAGAATAGCCATGGAAAATAATTACTATTTTTACAGTAATTACCATAGGAAATAATTACTATTTTATAGTAATTAATTACTATTACCACAACAGGAAATAATTACTATTAGGAAAACTTTTGCATGGATTGGGAAACTGCAACAGCAAATAATGCAATTCCAGCCATGATATAATGTTTTTATTCTGGTCAGTATATTTGTTTTCCTAAGATAGACTCTCATTTACATGTGTTAGAATTGCCCAAAAGGACATTGCATGTAGTACCATGTAGAAATGGCAGAGCAAAACATAATGAGGAATGTGTAAAATCATTTTTAAAAAAGCTGCAAGGGCACTCTTTCTGCAGACCTGGTATTTTTATGCTAAACAAACACAGTTATATAAACCAAACAAAATGGAAACTACATTAATACGCATTATTTACATAGTTTCTTCTATACTACTATACTATTTATTTTTATCCATTAGTGGAAGAATTTTCAGGATAATGGAAATATCCTAGTAGCCTAGTGCTAAGGTTAGAGGAAAATACAGTTAACAAAAAACTTTAAGATGCAATTCTGTGCTTATCTGCACACTTAATTTTACTGGAATGATACGGAAGAATTCCACATCATTCTAGTTATGAAAAGGGTGGATAGCAAGACACAATTCCATTATATTATACGTTATACTAAATCAAACGTCTTGAATGATATGTGTTAAGAATTCTATTTGCACAATTGGAAACTGTAATTGCTTTTAATTATTTGATTATTTTTGCCATCCAGAGTCACTTATTTGAGATGGGCAGCTATAGAAATTGAATGTATGAATAAAGAAATAAATAAAATTTCTGTGACTGCCATTCTTTTTTTAGGCAGCTGACATAACTCTGTGTTCTGATAGCACATATTCATAGATGACCCAATAAACTGGAAGTGTCCCTTTTTGAAATTTTTCTGGCCCCTATAAACAGTGATGGGAGTCTGGCAGTCCTGTTTTTTCCTGTCCTCTCTCCCAGAATTGAAATAATTTTTAAAAAGAACCCCATTGTGATGCAATTTTTGTCAAATCTTTATGGATTTATACATCCCAGCACCCTTTGCATTCCATATGATGGTGTTGGTGGGATGCTAAGAAAGATAAAAAGAACACAGAGATGGAGTCTTTAAAAAAACATCAGTTTTGGAGGGCTGCTCTAAAACTTCAGTTTTGTGGCCATTTTGACTTCAGCAACAAGAAGAGAAGATTACTGTTCCTTTAACTCTGTCCACATGATGCAGTTGACCTGTGTGTTTGAAACTAAAATTAGTGTTTTTTGTTCCTGCCACAGGCTGGATTAGGGTACTATTTTAATAGATTAATGCTTGGTAGGTATTCTAGGAATTATAGACCAATAGTCTGGGAGACTCTGGGAGACATTAGAAGCATGAAAATGTAAATTATGTGAATATGTATGAAATAGGAAAACTATTATTATAATATAGGGATTGAAACTAAAATTTGGAAATAATTTTTTTCCTCAGATGAAAATCCCCAATAAAAGTTTGAAAAATGTAAAAAAGATTTTATTTTTATTGATCGATTCAATTTGTTTGATTTGTATGACTGTTCACCTCACTTATAAGTACGAAGCAACGTGGCAAAATACTCTTTCAATCAAACATTTTGATCAAATAACTATCTTCATAAATGTTTTGTTAGTAATTATATAGTGTAAATGCATTCATACTTATTTAAATGTCCTTTCTATGCAAAGATTCTATACAGACAGTCCTTGATATACACATTTGAGCCCAACATTTGCTAAACAAGACATTGCTAAGTGAGTTTTGCCTCATTTTTATGTCATTTCTTGCCACAGTTGTTAAATGAATCACTGGGTTTGTTAAGTTAGTTACATGGTTGTTAAGTGAAACTGGCTTCCCCATTGACTTTGCTTGTCAGAAGATTGAAAAAGGTGATCACATGATCCCAGTACACTGCAACTGTCATAAAGAAATGCCAGTTGCCAAGCGTTCAAATTTTGATAATGTGACCACAGGGATGCTGCAATAGTTGCAAGTGTGGAAAAAGCTCATAATCCACTTTTTTCAAACAGTGATTAAATGAATGATTGTAAGTCAAGGACCACCTTGCATATATTGTTTTTCAGCCAGCTTGAAATTTTTTTTTTTAATATGTCTGTTTAGTCACTTGGATCCATGGACATACTTGTTTCATTGTTGAATGCCCTTGGTCTCCATTATTCAATAGAAATAGATTCACATGAGGGAGACTAATCTTGAAATATTAATTGTACATTCAATATTCATCTTGTTTAAAAAAACACTTTGATGTGTAGATAAAATGGCTAAGATAAATATTTTTTTTAATTCACTGTGGGAAAATATTAGAAAAGCCTCAGAGAACAGCCGCCATTTTGATCTTTGATCATTTTCTCCCTATTTCTCTACATTAGAAAAAAGGCACACTCAGTAATCCATATGCCATAAATAACGTTCAGGCAAGGGATTTTAGTATCAGATAATGCAGTCACTTTATTAATTGAGATTGTAATATATGATCTGTGCTATTAAAGAGTAGCCAGAATCATCATTTATAAAAAAGAAAAGAATAACAGTCATAACACAATTTCTGTTACAATGGCCATCAAGAGCACTGGCTGTTGTTGCTCCAGTGCATGACAACAGGTAAGGTACTAATTTTGATTTCCATTATTCTGTTCATAAGTTGAAGAAAATGAGTAATATGAATGTGAAATTTTATATATTGGTGGTTTATGTTCCTTCAGAACGCCATTCTGGATTTTTCTTTCCCTACATGGCTGGCTTTCCTTCATTTATTCTTTTGTTATGTAATGAAAACAATGAAATAGAATTGAAACAAGTGTGCTTTGCAAATGGGAAAAAAATATTAATCTACAAATGTGAATACATTAAAGGTAATATCACTTTTTTTCAAAAAAAAAGCTAGAATTCATTTTTACTGGTTGTACTATATACCAGACACTTGAATTGCATAATATAAAGCTTTATTCCTTGAAAATTTGCGTAATACTGAAATCACTTTGCAATAAATAGCTTTTGAAATGACTGATTAAGCATTAAAGTATTCAACATATGTTTAGAATTGCTAGTGTATATATCAGTCCTATGCACTCATATCTAGGATTACATCTAAGTTTTGAAAAAGTTTAGTTCTTAGTGAAGTAGTATTTGTCTTATGTTTGCAAATACTTATGTGCAATGTCCTGTGATTTCATAATACTGAGTATCATAACTTAATGGTAAATGTTTAAATCAAACTAAGTGGTTTGATTCCTAAAGGACAATTTAGAGCAGAAATTGGGTTAAATTACAACTAAGCAGATACATACACAAAGAGATGGTATTCAAAGGTTATCCTCTAAATCACTCCTACCAAAAAAGAAAAAGAAAAAGAAAAGCTCCAAAATTCAGTTTCACAGAATTTGGTTACACGGATTTGCATCTGTGGAGTCAGATTTTCAATGCAAATACACTGAAGTTTAATAATAATGGAATGTTGTTTTGTTTTGTTCATATTATACATTAGAGATGGCCCAATAAAAATATTGAGTTGTGTTTTCTTCTGTTCTTCTGATCTCTTTACAATTGTTAGCTGTGTTGTTGTAGTGGCTTCTTTTTCTTTTTGAGTTTTATTGCACAAGGACCTAATTGTGCATAAGGTCAAATCAGTTTTTGTATTTTTAATTATCTTTAGTATTCATAAAAGTAAATTACCATTTATTTTCTGTCATGAATATCCACAAGGGAACCATCAATAAGCATGACACAAGATGGGATTTTACCATGCTAATTAACTGTTACAACAGGAGATACTTAGAATAAGCATAGACTTCCCTTTAATTGCCTGGTAAGGACATCTTAGCATGCTGATGTCTTTCTGACTGGTGTATTGGGTGCATCTTCTTTTTATGAGAAAAAGCAGCTCTAAAGGATTGCTGTACTCAGGTAAAATAGATAGGGAGTAAATTTCCAGCTGTCTTTCCAGATGAATCTTGCTAGGATAGTATTTAGGTGCTAAATATGTAATATATTAACATAGCATTAAGGATTTGACAGTAATATGTGAAGTATCATCAGATTTTAATTGTATTTCAGATAGATAGGTAGATAGGTAAGTAGACAGAGATAGATGATAAATAGATGGCAAATAAGGGTTCCTTGGTGCTCTCTGAGCTTGCTTGTTTTCTTGCAGACTTTTCATTACTCTAAGTAGATAACATCAGAAGAAGATAGATAGACAGACAGACAGACAGACACACACACACACACACACACACACACAGAGAGAGATATATTG